CATAATGAATTGCCCCTAGAACATGGAACGATACATCGCCATTAGTTTCGTCTCTTCACTGGCCATCTGTCAGATTCCAACGGGCCTTGAACTGTTGAAATACAGGCCTGAGGTCACACTCACGCTACCACGCATTTTCGCAAAATCGCAAATTTTATGCAGTTTTTCAGGTCACAAGAGGCACGTATTTTGCGTGTTCAGCCTGGACAGCCGCGGGCTTACATATTCTGCAGGGACCTCCAGAGGTCCCCGCAAAATCCTACTTCTTTTTCCTCTACTGCTTTCTGGAAGCAAAAAAAAAAAGAAAAAAGTGCATTGTGCTGTCTGACTGCAGACAACGTATTTTCGCATCTCAAGGCCAGGTTGCGACCCTGTCTTTTCTGCTTTGGGCAACAAACGGGTGACCAGTGTGACCCGCAGGTGCCATATAAACGCAAATTCACATACGTAAAATTTGCGGAAGTACGTGCTAGTGTGAGAATGCCCTGAGAGTGCTATGCCCGTTATAGGGCCTCGCTCCACTACTCACGCCATGTGCAAGTTTGGAATAAATCTTCCGCTAGAACATGGGAAGATACACCACCATATTTTTTGTCTTTTGTACATGTGGTGTGTAGTGGAGTGAGGCCCAACCTCACATGCCCGTTAAAGGGCTTCGCTCCACTACTCGCCACATGCACAAAAGACGGAAAATATGGCGGTGTATCTTCCCATGTTCTAGCGTAGGATTCATTCTCCATTTGCAACATGTCGTGAATAGTGGAGCAAGACCCACATCTTCGCTGACATCAGGACTTCTTTTCTTTTTTTGGATGAAAACACAAACGGGCCGCCCTTCCTGGGAAACACAATACCAAAAAGAAAACACAACGGGCCTCCGAACACACACAAAAAAATAAATAAAAAAATTAAAAAGGGGGCACATTCCGCAGTGCGCGCGCATGGGGCCCCGTCACGCGTACCCCTGCACACTGCCAATGCGCGCACAGTGCACGCGGTGCGCACGTGCACACTCATCGCTCATGGGCGCACCGCTCACCGCACCGCATGGCGCACCCCACAGGTGCGCCGCAAGTATGCTATGTATAGATTGAATGTTGCCCCAAATACGGCTATAAATTCCTATAATGACCCGATACGTTGTGTTCAGGGGAATATGATAGGCCGGCAGAGTCTAACTTCGAAATTCCGAATCGCAGTCGATCGGTACATGAAGCACATGCATCTGCTCTCTCTCTCTTGTGAGGGGGAGAAAGTGAGGGACAAGGTGTCTTTCGTGGTCAATCATCAATGTTGATTTCCCTTCGGATATGGATTGCTAAGGAGATAGAGAGGAAGTGTTCGCTGAGTTTGCAGCCTATAACTCTTCAGAGGGACCAAAAGGAGTTGGTAAGCAATGAGATATAACATGGAGGTAGGATCTATAGGATGTCTCCTTGAGAATTGCTCAGTGCTCAATGAGCTTCACAAACAGCTCAAGGAGCTCACTGAACAAGGCTGCATTATGCAGCCATAAGAGATTGGTTGAGGCCTCAGGATTTGATAAGCATGGACATATAACATGGCGGTAGGCCAGTCCCTTGCCCTTGTTGTCAGGGGTTAGGTTCAATCCTGAGGGGATAGGCGCAACCCATAACTCTTAGGGCACTGAAGCTTCAATGCATAATAGATGTGGGTTGCTGCGCTTAAGGTTCAACTTGACTTAGATAGATGTAAGGTGTGGGGTCAGGTAGTGTGAGGTATATTTGAGAGAGGAATGTAGCTTACTTTTTCAGGGGAAAAACATGGAGGTAGCCCCACGGAGCAGCAAAGTCCTAAAGGGGAGGATTTATAGGAGGATGTCTCCTGCAGAGCTCGATGAGCTTTGCGAACAGCCAGCTCAAGGAACTCACTGAACAAAAGGCTGCATTATAGCGATCGTATACTAATTATTCGTTTTACTGGCTTTGTAGTGCTCATGTTACGGGGTATTTATCGTGATGTATTTTGTCCTGATTTTACGTGCCAATCTCATTGGAGGTGTATAACAAGTTTTTGTCTTTCTGAAACCTTCTCTCCGGGGTGTTCCTGAAAAAGTATCGTCGTTTGTGTTTGCCAGTCCGTCACCATATGCACATCTTCGTTTTTTGCGGTATGCTTATGCAGTAGTGGAAATGATCGTAGTTTAATTAGTCGTTTTGTACTGCTTATGTTATGGCGCTTTTTTCGTGATGTACTGTCCTTATCTTTTGTGCCATTCTACTTGGAGGTGTATCACAAGTTTGTCTTTCTGAAATTTTTCCTGCGGGGTGTTCCTGCATAAGAGATTGGCTTAGGCCTCAGAATGTTCCCTCCCTGACATATGCTTGGGCCTGGCAGGACAGTACAGCAATTTATGCAACCTGCAGGCTGCAGCAGTATAACTACTCCCTTGATTGATTTAACTGATTGGACTTCCCTTTATCAGTGTCCTACTGTCCCTCCTTTCTTTCTTTCTTTCTTTCTTTTTATCCCAAAAGGATACTGGAAGTGACGATAAAAGCAAACAAGCTGTAATTAGCACAGACCAAACAAAATGGAGGTAATTCCTGGGCCACACATGTCAAAAATAGTCGTAATGAAATCGATAGCACGGCTATAACTTATTAGCACCTCGTATTGAGGAAACACCCGACCTAATAAATGAAGGCTAAAAATAGCTAAATCCACACCACGGGTCCTATCATCATCGTTAAACTGACCAGCCGGAGGTGAATTCGGAGTTATTTTCACTCATCTGATTCCGTTGGTGGATTCAAACTCAGGTCTCCCAGAAAGTACCCCACATAGTACCCCAGATAGTACCCCACATAGTACCCCATATAGTACCCCATATAGTACACCACATAGTACACCCGATAGTACACCAGATAGTGCCACAGATAGTACCCCAGATAGTACACCAGATAGTGCCGCAGATAGTACCCCAGATAGTACACCAGATAGTACCCCAAAGTACCCCAGATAATACCCCAGATAATACCCCAGATAGTACCCCAGATAGTACCCCAGATAGTACATCAGATAGTACACCAGATAGTACCCCAGATAGTTCAAGAAAATTACCTAGAAGATGAAAAAATAGCACGGATTCACAAAGGTGGGACCGTGGCAGTCATCTTTAGCATGTGGCATAGAACGGGAAATGGCAACGGAGGGGTTATGAGCAATATCACACAGCATGGAGAATTCTGCCACCCTTCACCTAGAGAGCACGTGAAGGGTACCGACGTCCCTAGCTCAGTTTGTACACCCTTGAACTGAACTGTTGAAATACAGACCTGTGTTTGAATCCAGTTGAACGACATAAACAAAAAAAGAAAGCACGGGAAGGGTAAAGGGTAAAAAATTCAGAGGCTGAGTGGTAGCAGACTGGTATAGACAATAGACGAATGGCAGTTTTCTACAGACCGRGGGGRGGCGGCCGGGGGGGGGGGGAGGAGTGATGGACAAAACATTTTTGAAAAAACATGCACTCATAGTTGTATATTGCATAGTTTGTGCTGGCCGTTTAAGCTTTAAACCCTAAAACCCTAAGCCTAAGACCCTAAGGCCTAGAACCCTAGAACCCTAGAACCCTAGAACCCTAAACCCTGTGCACAGTTCGGACCATGGTAACCCCGGACCCGGACACTGGACACTTCCGGACCAGTGTCTGGACCGGTCCGGACTGTCCGGTGATCCGGACATCGCAGGACACCGGACAGTCCGGACCGGTCCCCGGGG